GGGTTGCTGGAGGAGGAGATGTTGTACGCCGTGATATTAATGCTCAAGGCATCTTCTTCTGAGTTTTCCATGTGGTTTTAATCTTTGTTATTCTCCTTGCACAAGTCGCTTATGGCAGCGCTTCCGCATGGCTCACGCAGGAATGAATGAATGACTGGGCGCTGCCTCTTGATTTATACTTCTGCAGCTCGTTGGTCTGGCCCTTTTCCATGCCCGTGGTGCACACAGTTCCATGCGGTACTTGCTTGACTGGACTAGGACTGACTGGGACTGGGACTGCTGACTCAGCATGGGTAGATTCCACCACTTGCCTCACCACTTGCCCACTTGCCTCAGCCTTAACATGGGGAACTTCGAAAGGCCACTACAGGGACCTTCCGGAAGGCAGCTACGACCTTGACCTTTCTGGACTGTAGCAGCTACGACCTTGACTCTTCGGGAAAACTACAGCTACAACTTCTAGACCTGACTAGGACTCCTACTCGACAGGTCTACAGATCGAACCCTTGCGATTTGGCGCACAAACCGTTCGAGTTCGGTAACCGATGTCATTTGCGGGCCCAGAGGGGAAGTTCTCCAGCTTCAGCAAATTCTCAGCGACAAACAATGTCGAAGCACAACGTTCAAGCACAGTGCCACATACATTATGGCGTTTGACGATGATTTTGGCGAACTTGCGCATATGAACAAATTTCAGGTGATAACACAAAAGGTATTCCTTTTCGCAAATTTGTAGATATGAACGGTCTTATCACAAATGTATGGCTTCCAAATTTCAAATATGTCTTACGCAAACAATAGGCAGCATGCAGTGGAGACCACGACATATATTCTAGCGATACCACTTAATTTTCTGGAGTCAATGAAATGACGTTAAACATACATACATTCTGGTGACAAATGGTTTCCGTTCCGCAATTGTTATATGGAAGCAGCAGTCAACATTCTATGGAGACAAAACCTTTCATGGCACACGAAGAATTGGCCTTGGCTGTAGAAGACAGGATAAGCAGAAGGAGGGAGGTTGCGGGGAGGAGGGTACAACAGAGGGGGTGAACCGGAGAAAGGGGCGGCACGCACAAAAGAGCGGCGAGGCAAAATATGTGAAAATCGGGGGAGGGAGGGAAGGGGAGGGGGGGGGGAGGGGTGTTCGGGTGAGGTGGGTTTCCAGACCATGAAGTCGAGCGTAAGAAAGACATAAGCTGGAAATTTGGCGACAAAAAAAAAATCATTGATATCTTTCACCGACATCGCGGTAAATGAACCAGAGTATGGACTCCTGTGAGCATGAGTGTAAATAATGGACACAATAGGACAAAGATTGCCCCGTGAGTAACACAGGAGCACAACCTAGAAACAAACAACGGCAGCACGACGCTGTCGCGGTCGTATAGGACACAAGGAGAACAACCCCAAAAAAACGAAGTGAGGAGGGGACTGGGATATTCGCATCGACACCTAAGCGTCTACTAAAAAGATACTGCACCATGAGGCCGGGATATTCACAACGACATCAAAACGTCTACTTGACCTAAGCGTCCACTGCAACCCTCTGGCTGATATCGGGCGGCTAAGGAAAGAGAATAACCCGAAAACAAACTAGGGCAGGACGCCGCTGCCGGCGTCCTAAAGAAAAGGCTTCACGAAGCTGCTACATTTACACCCGGAAAACTTAAAAAACAAGAAAGTGACTACAATCGTCTACAATCGTCCACCTCATCGGAAGAACACTAGAGCTCGAGCCAGCCGACTGCAAGAACAAGTGGGAATAGATTCGCACTTCTGTTTATGGCCTCGCGAATAAAAAAGTAGCGTATTCTCTTAATAGGGGTATTATTCTGAGCCTTGGATTATGTCCACCGCTATCCTCAGCCTGATGTTTGGAATGTCGCTTTGGCCTATCAGAAATGGAGGTGAATGACCGCGTGCCAGAAAGGAAGTGAAGGCGAGCATGAAAACACCGCAGCTCGACCCGTCCGACTGTTGAGGGACACCATGAACAACCACCTTGGGCTCTGGCAGATCCAGTTTTGTGTGTCGACCAAATTGACAAACTGCTGCGTCACAGAGGTATTTCGTGAAGTTCGCAAGCACACCGGAAGAAAAACCGCCATCGTCTTGTAGGAGGGAGTCGTAGTACTCCAGCCCTCCTTCGTGGACGCATAATAGGGTCCAATGCACTCGATTTTTATGAACAGGAATGATTAGCATATCGTACGCAAAAATGTTGACATCTTTTGTCCATCTCGCAACCCTATCATATCAACATCCCTCATCGACGAGCTTGGTATAGAAAAACGGAATGAAAATATAAATAGAGGGACACCCCGACAACGCAGCATTGCCAACAAGGGCCAAGTAGGACTCCATCACCTCGTCGCAAAGCCACCCCCCCTGGACAAGAGTCTGAAGATTTTTTCTGCTCAACAGAATAGAACTGGTCCCTTTGCGAATCGAGAAAACCACCTCGTGGCCGTTGCTGAAATCTCCACAGACCTCCTGCAACATTCTCAAGTCTGCACCGTTAAGCTCCTCAGTAGGCAACGACACGAGAAAATGTGATGTCGCCACAGCTGCACAAACACCCAAGAACAAGTGTGAGGAGCCGCCAAAACCACCGGGGCGAACTGGTCAAGAACTGTGTGCCCTTTTTCTAGAAAATTTATAACCCCGACTGCTGAATGTGTCTTTGGCGATGTACTTAGGACATGGGTCTTTGACGGTACCCCGTATGGCGTCGTCATCGGACCCATCAGACAAAGCAGTAACGCTTTCGATAGACGCAACCACATGTTTCCGCAAAGCTTCTTCCTTATTTATTCCACAAGCCTTCAGAACCCTGACACCTCTCCCGGAAAGGCGAGGCATCTGGACCCTTTTAAACAACCCTACAGTTGACAAGGACTTCTTCGGTAAAGCGGCCAATGACCTCCCTGAAAACGATTTTTCGCGCATGGCTTGTGAAGGCTTCATGGGCAGGGACATTGACAACCGCACACCTGAACCCACAACCCACAAGCTTTTGTTTAACACGTGGTAATAGCCACATGAGCCCATCATTTCAATGTGGATGACCACAGAGCTGAACATCGACAGATACGCGAGTGCTACTGTTCACAAATCTTACCGTGCTCGGGAGTCCTTCGCGGGGAACCGGCCTCTTGTCGCGCCACTGTGCCGACATCCGCGGAGGATTCGATGTTCTGCATCTCAACCACCGCTGAGTCGCTAACCAGCTCGATGGCAGCTGAGTCGCTAACCAACTCCGTGGCTTCATGAAGCACCATTTCCCGACCGGAATTGAAGGCAGACGCTCGATCACCTTGCTCTTCACCGCAGCGGGTGGACGGAGAATCATGATCTGTTCGCTCCAAACCCATCTGACGAGCCGACACCTCACCGGCATGAAGCCGAGCCGACACCCGGCATAAAGTTGAGCTTCCCCCACGGTTTCTTCGCCTGCCTTATCGTCATGAAGCTGAGCCGACACCTCACCGCCAAAAATTTGAGCTTCCCCCACGGGTTCTTCGCCTTCATCATCGTCATGAAGCCGAGTTTCCACCACGGGTTCTTCTTCGCCCTCCTCATCGCCACGAAGCCGAGCTTCCCCAAACGTCCATGCACGTCCTTCCCGCCCACGGTCTTTGCCTTCCACAAACGTCCACTGACCTCCCTTAACATCACCCTGTTGCGTCGCCAATGGCGACCCATTGTGCAAAACCAAATCGGTGTCCCCGATGTTAATGGCATTTCACGACAAGCCTTGGAGAAGCTCTTCATCCCGCTGCACTGCACGCATCTCCTCCAAAGCATGACCTTCGCACTTGCTAGCCTCTGTCTCCAACACTCCTACAGCGAGCCCCTGAACAGATGCCGCCGCACGCTGTAGACGTTCACCCTCTTCCAAGAGGTGCAGGAGCAAGGTGTCGTCCTGAACAGGACATGCGTGCTGCGTACTGCGGCCAGGACTGTCCTCAATGTCATGAAACAAAGTCCTCGCAGACAAGTGCGAATCTACTCGCACTTGATAAGACCCCAGGGTGGCCTCGTCTCGCGTGTTGGAATCTCGACTCCCTTCGCAGTGGCTTTCACCTCCGCCGACCCGATCTTCCGCTGCACAGCATGCGCTTCCTATGAGAGGTCCTCTTCCCCCAAAGCTGCTGCACTCTTGCTCTCAACATCGACGGACGCGCCCTCCGAAGCATGACACTGATGCTCGCTAGCACCAGTCTCAAACACTCCTGCATCGAGCCCCTCCTGCACTTTGTGAGGCGGCCAATGTTGAGTTTCCTCTTCCCGCTGCACAGCATGCGCTTCCTGTGAGAGCTCCCCTTCCCCTGGAGGTGGTGTACTCTTGCTCTCTAAGTCGACAGACGCACCCTCCGAAGGATGACGTAGATGCTCCCTAGCCCCGGTCTCCAACACTCCTGCGTCGAGACCATCCAGCACTCCGCGAGGCGGCCAGTGTTGAGTGTTCTCTTCCCGGTGCACAACATGCGCGTCCTGTGACAGCTCTTCCCCCGGATCTGCTGCACTCTTGCTCTTAAAATCGATGGATGCACCCTCCGAAGCATAACATTCATATTCGCTAGGCCCGGTCTCCAACACTCCTGCATCGGGCCCCTCCAGCACTTTGCGCTCGCCGGCGTCGTGAAACAAAGTCCTAGCAGACAAGTGCGAATGTACTCGCACTTGATAAGACCTCAGGGCCGCCTCGTCTCGCATGTCCGAATCTCGATGCCCTTCGCAGCGGCTTTCAGTTCAGCTAGACTCGTGACTCCCGAACGCTCCACGCTTTCCGCCCGGCCCCTTTCCGCCCGGCCCCTTTCCGCCCGACCCCTTTCCGCCCGACCCCTTTCCGCCGGACCCTTTTTCGTCGGACCATTTTCCGCCGGAACCCTTTGGTTTCGACGACGTTTCGCCTGGGCCCTTCCCCTCTGCTTCGTCACCACCAGATCCTGAGCCGTCTCCTCCGTCACCTCCTCCACCGGTTCCTGCGCCGTCTCCTCCATCACCTCGTCCACCGCCTTCCGGATGCTGACCACCCGACGGAGGTTGCGGCATGCGCCAGTCAATGCCACGAGAAGGTGCCGTTTCGAGTGTGTAGAAAGGCGCTTGAAACTCCAACATTTTGTTGTCGTACAGCTCATCAAGCTTTTGGCCTGCATACGCATTGACGTCCGACCGGCTCCTTTCGGGGTTCATCACACTCAAATGCTCCACGAGAGTTTCTCCCACCTTTTTCTTAAATGGACCCGCTCCCAGTCCGTTCAGGCCACTCCACTTGCCACCGGCTTCCTTCATTGCCATGACCCACTTTCCAGTCTTTACAGTAGGTTGGAATTTCCTAGGGTACCAGATGACGTTGTGGCCCCAGACATCCTCCGCTGTGAACCGGTGGTGCTTCCCGTAGAAGAAGAGTCTGTCATTGTCCCAGGTATCATGGTCCTTAGGGAGCTTGTCACCAGGTTCGTACTCATAGTCTCTCTCTTCTTCCCCGTCATCAGACGATTGGTCCTCGACTGTTTCGCGCTGAAACACACGCTTCAAACCGGCAGGGGACGTGCTATATCTCCGAGGAACACCTTCCCCTTCATCATCAACCTGTGCAACCACCCGAGGAAGTGGCATGGACTCGAAATCGAAGGTTTCGGAGTCGCTCATCTCCTCCATGTCTTCAGCGTCGAAAGGGTCCTCCTCGTCGAACTGCGCCTTGTAGTTTTCGAGGGTCAGCGGTTCGGCCATCAAGAAGAAAACGTGCTCCAGCCTTTTCAGGAAATTTGAGACAGACTCCTTGGGTGCACCGTGGTAACCATTCAGCACACCGAACACCAGGTTCCTCCGTCGGTTGTATTCCAGGTTGGTCTGAGCAGGTGGTCCTGGCTGGAAAAGGAACTCCCAAACCTCCATCCTTTTCTTCTCCGGCAATTTCCAATACATATCACGTTTGGGATCCCAGTTCCGTTCGCCGGTGGTCCGGACAAAAGAGCAATGGTGGCGAGGGTTCCCCACGCGTGTCTTAACGAACTCGTAAAGGTAACCGATCATCTTCGCCTCGTCCCCTAACGCAACGACGTTCCGACCGCTGCGCAAGAGCTCCCAAACGACAGACGCGTGCGCCTTCCCGAAGAAAAAAATAGTTTGCCCAACTCTGCAAAAGTTCTCGAGCAGACCAATTATATGAGCTGGGTTGCGCTCCTTGTCCTTGTAAGTAGCTCCTCGAACACTTGTTACGCCGCCGTCCTCCCACTGGCTACAAGGGAACTTGTCCTCGTCTGCCACGTCGAAACAAGACACAGCCTGTCCTGATGGGTCGGATGAACAGACAGATTTCGAGCGGGCCGCCGCCGCGGGTTTGGCCGGACTTGGAGCATGAGTACGGGGAGGCTTCGATGGACTACTGGCCGGGAAGACTGCGATCGTGTTGTCTGCCAGGTTCTCGCCATTGAAAACCACGTACAGACGATCATACTCCTCGACCAGCATATTGCCTTCCCGGATAGTGACCTTCCTTTGTGCATGGCGCACCCACTTCCCTGTCCTGACATGATGAACGCTAAGCTTGGCCCTACCTTTCAAGAAACTGAGCTCCCAACGAGAGGGGAAGAAGACCACAAGTGCCCAGTGTCTTGGCGATAGGGTTTGGAGAACGCCTTGCAAGGAGGCGAAATCGTCTTCTTGCCAATCTGAGAGGAGTGTGGGATCACACAAATTGAGGACGTACAACTTGCATATGTTGTAGGGTCAAACCCCGGTAGACTTTCGAGCCTTAGTTGACCCCACTGCGGGTCCCAGTTGGCTCGGCCCGCCCACACTCATGCTCAGGGCGTGGGCCATTCGTCCTAGGGTCACCCCCACCTAGTGCTTTGAGATGACTGGGGGTGGGCCATCGCGCGAGAGAGCTTTGACATTGGGGATGTAGCTCAGCCCTCACGCCGGGTGGTAGTCTCGCTGGTCATTCCGTAGCGCTGATTTTTTTTCGATTCTTTGTTGTGTTACCAAGCAATTGCTCTTTCCAATACGCAGGCAGTCCAGGGGTTCTTTGAGAGTCTTTCTTCCTTTGTGCGCAGGCTAAGCGTCATCCTTAGGCCGCACACCATTTCCCTAAACCTTGTGTACCTACGACGTCATCGGGGTGCGGCGAAGCTGTCTTACCCCTCGCCTCTACGCCCCGGTTGGGCCTCATGCATCTTAATCAACTCCATTGCCGCAGACCCCTTAGTCTTTTCGGGGCCTTTATATGCATGCACACATACCATCACCTTTCCCTTGGCAAGATGCACTTTGTTTTCTCATCTACCCTCCAAATCTCAAAAGCAAAGGTCATTTCCATGCGTTGGTTTTATGCTAGGGTCCAGCAGCCCCTTTGTCCCTCTTCCCTTTCCCTTTTGGTGCCCGGTCCCTCACGACCCCATCCCGCTTAAGGCATCCTTAGCCCTCACTCAGCTGCACAATCCCACACAAAGCAAAGATCCGTATAATCCCCCGTTGGGGGTCAACACATAGCCCTTCCCACATGCCTATCTTTTCAAGCTCTTTGGCTGCTCTTTGTTCCCTTTTGTTGCTCAATCAGCCCATTCTCTTCTCATGATCATGCAGTCGGGGAAATGGTTGAGTCAAACTGACCTTGCTTACTATTTCACTTTCTCCGGATCTCGTCCTTTCTCACTCTCCCAACGTCCTTTTTCTTTGCCTTCTTGGTGGCACAAGGGACCGGCTACCCTCCCCTTGCTCTCTTTCTCCACCAAGTGAGGTATGATCTCTTCTTACCGTTCGCACCCTGGCAATGTACCAAGTGAGGGGAGAAGGGTTAGTCATATGCCAAGTGAGGGGAAGAGAGAGAGGGGAGCAAAGTGAAAAAGGAGAGAAAGAGTGGTGGAGGGGGAGGACAACGAGAGTGAGAAATCGAGAGAGAGAGAGAGAGAGAGAGAGAGAGAGAGAGAGAGAGAGAGAGAGAGAGAGAGAGAGAGAGAGAGAGAGAGAGAGAGAGAGAG